CTGTATATAAACACAGAGGAGCAAAGTAAAGCACAGTTTAGTACTATAATCTAGGATTTAGATGCTCGTTCTGGGTTTGCTAACCATTTAAGTTTTCAGAATAAAGTACAAGTAGTCCATTCCCATTTACAGCGGTTCCACAGCTTGTAAGTAAAGCTGACCAGGACTGCATTTCACCCATCAAGTCAGCTAACATTTAAGGCAGAACCACTAACAACCATTTCTGGAGGGTATTTACATTCAGCTGTTTCTTGGGCCCATCAACCTTGCTTTCATTCAACTGCCAGCCCTAATAAAAACAGAGTCACCTGCACCAGGGTTCCCCCACCCAGTCTCAGAACAGGCATCCCGAGTGCACCTTCATCTCAACACTTGAAAAGGGCTATGTTCTCAAACACGGGGCTCAGGCCTATAACTGAGAGAAAACAGCTGCATAAAGCACTGCTATCTTCTAAGATCAGTTACTCTCAAGGCTGGGCTGTGAAATTTAACTCACTGTGGGAAAGAGAGAAAGGCAAAAACAGAGTAGTGAGGTTCTCAAAACTTTTTTTTTTTTTAAGTTGGTAATTGAAGATTATTAAAAAAAATAAATGTCCTTACTTGGTAAAAAGAGGACTACTGCGGGCCTCCCCGGTGGCGCAGCGGTTGAGGGCTGGGTTGCGAAACTGCCCGCAGCCTCTGCAGCGCCGGTTCCATCCCCGGCTGCTCCTTGGCCACCAGAGGAGGGCAGACCTCTCCTGCTGCCTGCTGCTCCCCTCAGCAGTGTACTTTGCTCCTTCTGCCTGCTCTGCTCCCCACTCTGGCTCTGGTGAAATCTCTCACCCTCCCGCGCTTCTGACTGTACCCAGTGCTTGTATAAACAAACAAACAAATAAATAAATCTTTAAAAAAAAAAAAAGAGGACTACTGCAATCCTATATTGGTCTCCAGCATTTTGGGGAGAATTTTGTGGTCCAGGAAAATCAGAGTCTGGTCTAGACTCCTTTAGTCCTACTTTCTACTTAAATATACCATATTTGTAGTAATTTTGATAAATATTCAAAAGGCTGAAGAAAGCTGATTGAATATTTGGGTAAGAAATGCATTTCACAGAGCATTATTTTAAAATCTGGAAGACAAGTGACAAATGATGATAGGGGCATAGTTAGTTTCACTGATATCCTAGATGAAGGACATTGCTATCTTCACAGGGCTGCAGGAGAACAACTAGAACAGGAAGAGAGCGCTTCATGATGTCTGTCTCTAACAGCAGAATTTCCACAAAATAAAGTAAACCTCAAGCTAAGCAAGCTAGTTACAAAGAACTCACTGCAGCCATGCTGACCAGCTGTGCTTTGGCGGGGACGCTCTTTACTTCTTCCAACGTTTGCCTCCTCATCTATAAAATGGGGCTGACTTTCAGGAATGTTGTGTACCTTTTGCTGTCACATAATACTTGCTCAACAAATAGTAGGTGCTACGAACAGAACGTTATATTTTATATGTACAGACAACTGTATTACCCAGAGTCACAGAATAGTGCCAGAGCCTAAATCAAGAGCCCAGACTTCTCAATTTCACCCTAGTTGTTTATTCTAGAATGTAGCATTGCTGGAGTGGGGTGAGGTGGGTGCTACCTGGTGAACTCTCAACCCAAACAAAATTAACAGCTAGCTTCAATAGCTACACAAGAAAAAAAAGGTTGATAAATACAGAATTTTATGGGTTTGGTTTTTGGTATATTCAAGTAGTTGTGGTTTTCTACAGCCAATTGTTTTTCCGTTTCACAAACTTCAAAATCTGTCCTGTGATTTTTTAAAACTTGTCAAATTGTGCTAATTGTATCAAACTAAGTAACTCAATTCCATAAATATAAAATCCCATTTGAAAATACTCCACTTAGGCAATTTTTACTAAATAGGTCAATTATTAAAAAGCTGTATTAGCATTTCATATCTGGTGAATTTTGTCTATCTTTTAAGCCAAATCAATTTCTGATTTGATTATCAATTTTTAAAAAAATCAACATTTTGCTCATTTATAATCTTACAAAATAGTTCATTATTGCAAATCCCTCAGGATTTCCACTGCAATCTTTTCTAGAAAGTCCGTGCGTGTGCTTCTCTTTTAAAGGCACTTACTAGAGACACTGTCTTCTAGACTCTGATTATATATGACCACCTTTAGAGACCTACCCTGACCCAAACATGCCTGTAGCCTCTTCCCTGCCATGCTTACTGGGCACATGGTCTTTTCCGGACTCTGCTGTCATAAGCAGCACCCATGTAAGCCTGGTTAAAGTAAGGGAAAGTGCCATTGTGGAAAAGAATCTTTCTCTATGTAGAACTGACTGTACCACATGTAATTTTATCAGAAGGACACTATGAGTTAACAGTTCAGCTGACAGGCATGCAGGTGAGGTAACCACAGTTCTACACCACACCCAATGCCATATTTAAATAGCATTTTTCCAAAGGAACTTGAGGAATGAATTTCTTTACAGCATTCCAATGCATGGGGAAGCCTCCCCTGACTGGCCCTCCCTTTATACACCCCCTCCCCACTACTGGAGGGGCTTCCACTGTTTTCCCCTGTACACATTTGCATCACTGACCTTACCAATTTGGGGTTATTTTCCCCACAGGCTCTGAGTTGTGTCTGGACAGAGACCAAGTCCTATCCCCCACTGAATCCCCAGTGAAGAGTACAGCAATCAACACACAGTAGGTACTCAATAAGTGATCTGATAAGTCTAAAGAAAAGCAACTGAGGCAGGTATTGAAGTGGGGTTAGGTTAGTTTTCTTAAAGTCTCTTTATTATCAGAGGTAATTATCTTTGTCCAAACATCCCACAACTAATAAACATCTAGCCAAGTACTATAGCCCTGTATGTGAAAGAAACAGAAATGAGCAAGACAAAAATCCAGCTGTGTAAGAATTCTAGCGTGGCAGCAGTGTGGGGAGCTATGTACACGTGTGGGTATACGATTTGTGTTTGCTAAGACAGAGGAACAAACTGCCTGGTCTCCTTGATTCCTGGTTTCTTCCTTACCCCCAAAGACCCTATCTAAGCCTGCTCAATTCGTTTCACTGTCTCTGTGGCAGTGCTGTACTTAATTCAGAACTTTAAGGCTCCACTTGCTGTAGTACATACGTGTGTACACACACATTCTCTCTTTCCATGCTCCTCAACATGGCATTCCAGGCCTTGAAACATCCATTCCTACTGGCCCCTGATGAGTCTTTCCCAGAATGTGGGAGTTCTGCTTCATTGTGGCTGGGGTTTACAAAAATCCTTCCTCATGGCTCCTCTGTCCCACCCTAAAGTGCACCTCATTTCCTATCGCACTCACCATCCACCCAGGCAAGCCCCATTATCCTCCCATTAGTGCTTGTGCCAATTTCTTTTCAGCACAGTGCACAACTATATCATCTCTCATTTTTATACAGTTTCAAGTGTGGAGCCATAAAAGATCAATAATTCTGAAATGCTTTTAACTCTTTTCAAAATCATGTCAGCTATGTGAAAGTTCTTTGATGTGTTCTATGTGATCCTAGATCAGGTATAGCTCCAACTATATATGCTACTGAATTTTAAAATCACAGTCCAAAGGCCAACATTTCAAAAGCAAACAGGGTACAATGAGCACAAATACCCCCCAAATGACCTATTCCACAAAAGAATTAAGGAAAACACTTCTCAAAAAAACCAAAAGACAAAGCAAAATTTGGGCTTAATTTCACAGCCACACATTTTAAATGAAGTTTTGTTACATGACATTTTAAAACCAATTTACCCTCAAACTATAATACCTAAGAACTGCCACTGATTACAATATTAAATATATGTACAAGTATGTAGAATACTTTTAATACAGTATTCCAAATTTAAATATTCAGTGTTTCTTGGACGTCCCCTGGGAGAATCCCTCACTGCCTACCACTGCTTATTTTGAAGAACCATCTCATCTAAAGGGCTTTTTTCCTATTTGACAGCATTTAAGGGGTTTTCCATAGAAGAACTATTCTGCACAAACACCAACCTGACACCGCAATGCCAAGTCCTGTGAAGTTCATTTGACTTCATTAAAAAAACTTCCCCCGCAGTTTCAATTTTAGATCCTGAGGACAATATACTTCCTGACCTGGTCTACTGTACTTACTTCACTGCCGTTCTTTAGCAATCAGAGTGGTAATGGAAGGTGCCTTCTCACTTTTGTGAGCTCCTGGGTTATTTGAGGTCAGGGACAAGTACAGCTCTAGGTCCTCTGCCCCGAATTTATAGTTAAAATAAAGAAATTCAGTGTGGTTTTAGTCTTAATATTCTTCCGAGTTCCTCCACAGGGAATTTTAAACTTCGGTTTTAGTGCATCACAGAAGTTAAGTTCAAAATTAGAAAACAGGGCCTGGCTGACAGTGCAAACACTCCGTGCAAGGCAAAGCTAAGGCAACGAAATTCGCCAAGGATGACCTACCTTGGCCTTCCAGCCAGGAGCACAGCTTCAACTCCACTACCCTGCCTGCCAGTTCCCCACTTCTACCACCTTTTTTCTTGAGGAATGTAAAGGGCCGGGAGTTTCCGGAGTGATGCTCACACCGTCCCCGCGAGCGGAACAGGACTCGTGCATAGCCAGACCAGGCCTCCCGAGGACCGGTGAGGGAGGAGATTCTGAGACCCCGGTCAGTGCTCGGTGACTCGGCTCCGACCGACCCGTGACAAGAGGGGGCGGAGGAGGAGGGCCCGGAAGCCCCGAGGATACGTCTGAGCGGAGACTAAAGGACAACCCCGGCCTGGCCTGGGGTATGGGATGACGGGGCTTCCATGGGTGGCTGCCCTCGGCGCCCCGGGAGTCCCCAAGAGGCCCAGCTACCAAAGCAAGGGCCCCCGGGGCCGCTCAGCTGGAGAAGGGGGTGGCGGACTCCAGGAGAAACGAGGCTGGCGGGGCGCAGGGCAAGAGCCGGGGACGGGGACAGGGCAGCGCCGGCGGGCCCGGCCCGGGGCCTGGTGGCGGCGGCCTTACCCACGGTGGACTTGCAGGCCTCGCAGAAGGTGTCGTCGGTGAAGCGCTCCATCAGGCTGGTCTTGCCCACGCCGCGGGAGCCGATGATGATGACCTGCAGCTTGAAGTCGGCCGGCCTGGGGGGCTGCTTCCTCCGGCGGGCTTGGCCCCCGGACAGCGCCGGGGAGCCCGCGGCCAGGCCGCCGCCCCCGGCCCGCCTCTGCAGCGCGGCGCCCGGATCCATGCCCGCATACGGCTCGCGCTCGGCCCGCCGCCCGCCGCCCGCCCCCCGGCCGCGCGCCCCGCGCCCCGGCGCCCCCTCGGCCTCCGCCGCGCGCCGGGGGTCGGCCCCGGCGTCCGCCCACTCCCGCGGCCCGCGGCCTCCGCGCGGCGGCTGCGACGCCGGCCGGCCGCCCGCTCCCGCCTCCACGCCGCCGCCGCCGCCGGGAGAGGAGGAAGGGAAGCAGCTACTCCGCAGCAGCGGCAGCAGCATCCCGGACGAGGAGGGGCAGGAAGCGCAGGCGCGGGGCGGGGGAGCGGGCGGGGCCGCGGGGTCGCGCCGGCGCGGGGCCGGACCCGCGCGCACGCCCCCTGCCGGCCGGAGGACCGCCCGCCCCGCGCGCCCGGGCCCGCGCCCGGCGCGGTCTGCACCTCCCCGCTCCCGCGCTTCCGGCTCCTCCACCGCCCGTCGCCGCCAGCCCTGGCTCCAGGGGCTCCTTTGCGGCCGCCGGCTCTCTCACGCGCTCCTCTCCCCGCCTCTCCTTCAATCTGCTCTTCTCCAGCCCGCCTCCTTTCCTCTCTGCACGGAGCCCAGTTCCAAGCATTTTGCCCGCGCTTTTATCATCTCGCCAAACCCGTTACCAGCTCAGGAGCGCGTCTCCCAAATCCCTGCCGCAAGCTCGAGCGTTGCCCGCGCGCTCGCGGCTCCGGGCGAGGCGGCCGCGCCGCGCCCCGCCGGCTCCCGCCCCCGCGGGCATCTGCTCCCGCCCGGGCCGCGCTGCCCGCCGGCCCCCAGGCCCCCCGCGCCCGGGACGGGGCGTGGAATTCTCGGTCTTTCCCTCGTGTGTCTGTTTTCTACTTTCTGAGGAAACATAGGAAATTCTTTCTTTTTGCCTCAGTTGCTTCCTTACTCAAAGTTCAGAAGTTTTTATTCCATTTAACCTGTAAAGCGAGTGAAGTAAAATTCAGCGTAAAAAGAAACTCCAAGGTTGAAACTCGACAAGTTTAGGGGCTGTGGACTCGGGTGCTGTGTCCTGCCGTTCTATCTGAAAGGCTTTAAGGATACACAAAATCGCTGCCCTGATTCTTTGCCAGGGATTTGTTTAGCGAATTCCTCAGCGTGAACTTGAGCACCTCAGCACACGGGGTTCTAAATATGATAGGAGCCGGCACACTTGCCAAGAATGGTCACGTTACTCACCAAATTTCGGCTTTATTTAGAACTAGGTTTAGTAATGCATAGTACATGTGGATGTTACTCTTTAAACCTGATTGGTAAAAATCTAATGTTGCCCACAAAGTAAATTGGAAGAAATTTACATTTAAAGGAGAAGTCTTAGCTTTCCCAGAGCATCATCACAATAGGAGTCTCCTCATTAGTTCTTGGTACTTTTAAATACCACCTCATCTTAGCATTTTATTTTATTTTTTTTAAAGATTTATTTATTTATGTATACAAGAACTGGGGTACAGACCAGAGGTGTGGGGGGTGAGAGGATTCACCAGAGAGAGTGGGGAGCAGAACAGGCAGATCTACGGAAATACACAGCTGAGGGGAGCAGCGGAAGAGCCAGGAGAGGTCTGCTGTGCCATGTTGGTCCACATGGGATCGAACTCGTGCTGCAGTGTCTGCCGATAGCTTCATAGGTTGCGTTGTAACCCCTTGTGCCACCAGGGAGGCCGGATCTTAGTATTTTAAACCCAGCCCCATCGCTCTAGTGAGCTGTGGATTGAAGCTGTCTTCCATGAACACAGTGACCACTTTAGCCATTTAGCATTGTCAGAAAAAAAAATTAACAATTGATGCAAAATATGACATGAAACATACTTGTTATGTTAATATAAGGAATTAAAGAAATTGATTTAACCATATTTTTAAAAGAAAACTGATTTCCAAAGCAAGACATTTGTGAAGGTAATTTCAAGATTTTTAATTTGGTCCAATCTGACTTACACCATTGCCTGTTCTAATAGGCATATAAATGGGAATAGTTAGTGCAGCTGAAAACTTTCTTTCCCATAATAAAAATCTCCCCCATAAAGCAGATGTGTAATTTCTTCTACTAGATTTACTGAGAGGTTAAATGGCAGAGATTGGGTAGTACCTCCAGAGGCTAGAGTTAAAATCCATGTGTATTCCTTTAAGCAATTGCCACTACCTAGTGTTCTAACATATAGAACTGTACCAGATCCATAGTACAATTCAGAAAATCTTTGAGGGTCCCCTTGGTGGCTTAGGGGTTAAGTATCAGGGCTCTCTCCACTAAAGCCTGAGTTCCATCCCCAGGCAGGAAGCTAACCCATATATAGCCCAGTCCCCTACTCCCCTTAGTAGTGTATTTCAGTAGCTCTGCCTGTTCTATCTACTCCCCACTCTGCCTCTGGTGAATCCTCTTACCCCCTGTGCTGCTGACTTATACCCCAGTTCTTCTATGGAAAAAAAAAAGAAAAGAAAAAAATCTTTGAAAGAATGAATTACATTTTCATACTAGTGAATTTAGTGTCTACTTGGATTAAAAATCCAGATTGTGAAACAAAGGGAACACTCCACTTTCTTGCTCCATCCTCCACACCCCACCACCAAATTCTTTACCATTTTGTAAGACCTCCTTTCTTTGCTATCACCTTAACAACATCCCACCTAAGACAGAGAAGTTGAATCTTTTACAAAAGGCCAGATATGGAAGAGAATGGAGAGGAAGAGATAGCCAAGGACAGAATCCAGGATCATCAATACTCAAAACATAAAGCAAAATAAGAGAGAGAAGGAAGATACCCTGGGAGGGAGGAGGAATCTGGAGATAAGGGGGTTATGAGAAATGGGGGGAGGATTGTGGTTTAAAGATGGGAATGATCAAGAGAGTCCAATATTACAGAAAAGCCAAGTAAATTAAGTACAGGCACTGCTTTTTCTGTGTGATAGTGTCGATCTGTACAAGTGGTCATGCAAGTTCAGGTGACAAAATGATCCCATAATCAATGGGAAAAATCACAGTTGTTCTTTGACCTTTATAAATTACTGTCAAATCATTAAAAACACTTAAAATCACATTAAAATCATTAAGTATATAAAGAAATGGAAAAATTGTAAAACTCATATTTATTTGGGATTCTTCATCTAAAACACTAGAAACATTGGGAATTAAGTGTTTTATGTCTTTGGAAAAAACTTACCCAGAATAGCCTGAACAGTGCTTGTCAGTGTCTTGTCCTATAACTAACATAGGAGCTGACCTCTTTTCTGTGCCCTGGTGAACTGTTACACTCCTTTTCAGGGTTTGATTCAACTTTCAACATTTTATTCTTTGTACTTTTAGTGTTAGGAAATATATGCATTTTATATGAACTTTTTTGCTGGCATCACTTTCTCTGGACTGCCTTCATCCTTTTTGTTGAAACCACTTTCCTCCTTTGCGTTGAGCACCTTCACTGAATTTCTCTGTCCACACATCCACAACCTCTATTTTTTTTTTTAAAGATTTATTTTTATTTGTTTATACAAGCACTGGGTACAGTCAGAGGCACAGGATCGAACCGGCGCCGCAGAGGCTGTGGGCAGCTTCGCAACCCGGCGCTCAATCGCTGCGCCACCGGGGAGGCCCCCCATCCACAACCTCTTGAAAGGACTTAGGGTCACTCATCCGACAGCCTGAGGTTTCTTCCATAACTCATATTCACAGATTTGGTGTTATTGAGCAAAATTGTGGTAACTAAAATTTGTGCTTATCAGGAGCCTCCCTGGTGTTGCAGGGCTTAAAGTCTCAGCACTATCAAGCCACTGCTGCATGAGCTTGATCCCCAGCCAGGAATTTAACCCACATGGTGCAGCAGACCTCTCCTATCTTGCCCGCTGCTTCCCTCAGCAGTATATTTCAGTAGATCTGCCTGTTCTGCTCTCCACTCTGTCTTTGGTGAATCCTCTTACCCCCTGCACCTCTAGCCTAGACCCCAGTTCTTGTATGCATAAATACATACAATTCTTGTATGCATAAAAATAAAATTTGTGTTTATCAGACCAAGCAAAGAAAAGCATTTATTAGTGCATGGGTGGGAAACAGATTGGGTTCTTCTTCTCTGCTAGCAGAACTCAGAGGACTTTCTTACCAATAATGAGACACACGTTTACACTATTACTTCTTTAGTCACAGAACAGTGAGCGTTATAGTCTTCATAGTCATCTCAGCTCTTTGTTTTTTTAAAAATATTTATTTTTATTAATTTATGCATACAAGAACTGGGGTGCAGGCCAGAGGTACAGGGGGTGGAGAGGTAAGAGGATTCACCAGAGACAGAGTGGGGAGCAGAGCAGGCAGACTGACTGAAATACACTGCTGAGGGGAGCAGCAAGTGAGATAGGAGAGGTCTGCTGCGCCATGTGGGTTATCTCCCTGGCTAGGGATCGAACTCATGCTGAAGTGACTGGCGATAGCTTGATAGCACTGAGACTTTAACCCCTGTGCCACCAGGGAGGCTCCTTCAGTTCTCTTTGCCCCACGTCCCACGAGTGCTGTGGACTGGGCCCAGGGAATGCCGCCCACAGTTGACTTGCATCACCGATGAGCACCTTCCAGCTTGGGTTTCCAGCTTGGGAAACCCGGGTCTTTAAAGGGGCTGCAAGCAAACCCTGCCCGACCTTTGTCAGGAGGGAGGTGGTGTCTTGATTAGACTGGTCAGCAAGCCGATAGATTCTCACTCTGCTTGGAAGGAAGACTGTATCTTGATATCCCAGGGTTGTCCTCTAGACTAACATCCCTGAAAGATTGTCAAAAACAAAAACTGCAGGCATCTTGCCCACAGGATGTACAGGAACATGAGAGACTCATGGAGAATTGTCTCCCAACAAAAATTAGGGATAAAGTGAATGTTTATTTGAAATGATAAAATAAATGATAACACAAGTTTAAAAGAGTTGACAGATGCTCTCAACATAATTTCAAGACTTGGGAGGTATATGAATTGCCTGGATCACTTCTGTTATTTTTTCACTCCTTTGTTGGTTGCAGACATTTGGTCACATGACAATTCTTTGTTGTGTCATCCTTCTCAGAGAGCACTGGGACCACTCTTTCCTCAGCATGCTGGTTAGAATCTGTTTGCTAGTTGGTGTGTGTCACACATGTGGCTTCATAGCCAGACATATTCTCCGTTTATAGTTCTGCTACAGGCTTACATCCCACAAACACAGGAATGCTGGTTGATCTTTTTCCCACACTATTTTTATCCAAAAAGGAAACCCAATATATCATTTGTTTGCAATTGTCTATACTGCACTATTAA